GGGGCCCACAGTGCAGCAGGCTCGCTCGCCTGACGGTCCTTCAGCACAGCAAACTAACGACCAAGCTGGGCTGGAACGCTAGTCTGCCCATAAACATTAGCGCTTCCTTAACTTGTGAGCATAACAGGGCGGGGCGGGGGTGCCTCTCTGAGCCCTAGACCTGGGGCTGTGCCCCAGTGGGGAGAAAGGGCAAGGCGCCCAGGGCTGGGAGCCGTCCTCAGCCCCTCCCCCACCGTGAGTCACCAGCAGTGCAGATTAGAAACCTGTTACCTTCCTGTAGCCTGTGGAGCTCTCTCCCCCACCTCTCTCTCTCTCTCTCTCTCTGTCCCCTGCTCCCCATCTCTCTGAGAGGAAGACAGCGGAGGAGCTAAGGGAGCAAGCTCTGCACTAGACGACCTGGGTTTGACGCCCATTTCCACATTACCCTGCTGTGTGTCGCTGGGCAGTGTCACAGCCTCTCTGGGCGTCCCTCTCCACTGGAGAACTGCAGGGGATCACAAGAGTTTCTCCATGTAAACTACACCCCACACCCCATCTGTGTCTCCCAGGGCTGGAATGCGGACTCAAGTTCAAGACTCAAGTTCAAGGCCAGGTCACAGCGCTCTTTGGCCTCCTGGATCAAGGGAGTACACCACACACCCAGCAGAGTCCAGGCCAGGCTCTGACTTTCAGAATCAGATAAGGTGTTGCTTTTGCCCCACCCCCCTCCCCTGGGTCTGCTCAGCTACTCCTCCCCCACCCCCAAGAGCAGGAGCTGGGCTGGTGCCGGTGGTTTTTTTAGCTTGGTAAGCTGGAGGCTGGCTTTACCCATTTTATTTTATTTCATTTTAGACTTATTTATTGATTTATTTATTTGAAAGGCAAATAAATAGAGACGGACAGAGAGAGAGAGAGACTGAGAGACAGGCAGGTCTTCCATTGGCTGGTTCACTCCCCGGTTGGCCACAAAGGTCAGAGCTGCACCGATCCGAAGCCAGGATCAAGAGCTTCCTCCGGGTCTCCCATTTGGGCCATCTTCTGCTGCTTTACCAGGCCACAGCAGAAACTGGATCAGAAGTAGAGCAGCCAGGACTTGAACCGGCGCTCATATGGTATGCTGGTACTGCAGACGGTGGCATCACCCGCTACACCTCTGCACCAGTCCCTACCCATTTTAAACGAGACAGAAATTAAGAGCCAGGGAGAAGCCGACACAGGCAGACACCTCCATCCACATGGCGGGTAACTGTGGACCGACGCCTTGCAGGGGGAGGGCTGGGGCAGGCTCACAGCAATGCTGGAGACAGATGACCTAAGCTGTGTGGACACCCGTCAGACTGGACGTCACGTCTGTGCCCCTGCAGCTCAGTGACTAGGCAGACACAGTTAATCAGTCAGAGAGATCCCCAAGGGGCAGGAAGAGGCACCGTGTGGATGGTGCCAGACACAGGAGCAGACAAGGAGGGAACGGGGTAGCTTGTCAGAGACACCCAGGGCTCCAGCGAGGCGGATCAGCTGTGCTGCCTTTTCTAGCTGCTCCACCCCTGCCTCTGGGTCTTAGTCACTCGGTCATACTGATTCCCTCGCTCTGCCTCTCTCATCATCGCTCTGTGGCCCTCACAGAAGAGGGAGGTGACTGCATCTGCAGGCGTCACACAGACAGGGGCAGGGGTGTGCGCACCAGGGTGAGCCCCCAGAGGGATCCGCACCAGCACACACCGGCCAGTCCACGGGAGCACGGTTGCATGGATGCAAGGAAACAGAGACCTGCAGAGGAGGTGGGCAGCCCTGGGACGGGCGCAGTGTGATAAACATGGGATTTCCCTCTATTAGTACAATGCTGAAATGGATAACCGACCATTTAAGCAAAACATAGTAACAATGTAACACGAAGTTACAGCAAATGTAGATTCAACTTACCATGAGCACAGCCCGAAGGTCAGGACACACACAGCCAGGTTCTCATCCCCGTGTGAATGAGCTGAATGTGGAACACAGGCTGTGAGACACTGAACATTGATTCTGTGTTTCGTAAAGCAGCCATAAAAACACAAAGCTCACAGTTATGACCAGAGAGTGACACAATGACATCATAAAATGGTGTGATAAGTTATACATGTATATTATGCACTTGAAAGCCAAAGCTAGGAGTCACAGCTACTGAGCCAGGAGCCAAAACAGAATTGCAGAAGCTACTGAACACTGAGGAAGGAAGAAACAGAGGAAACGGGAACTAAACACAGACAAGAGGGCACAAGCGACAAGCCTTGGAGGCGTTCACTGGGTGCGAAGTCTGCGGTGCACAGCGTTCATGAGCGTGCCTGAGGCCGTGGGCAGCACTGAACCCTCTATGTGTGCTTCTAGGTTTTCCCTCCTTGGCACACCCACGGTCAAGCTCAGCTTCCAAGTTAGGCACTAATGAAACGAGGGGGCTTCAAAAGTTCACGGAAAATGCAATCAAAAGAGAAGTTTAAGGGCCAGCGCTGTGGCACAGTGGGTTGAAGCTCAATCATCACTCCAATATTGGGCACTGGTGTTGCAATTGGCAGCTTAACTGGCTGCACCACAATGCTGACCCCAAGCAGAGACGTTCCAGAGCCATGACCCTGGGAAGACCCCCAAGGTGCCATCATCCTTGGGCTCCCAGCTAGGGGCTCGAGTCCGTCTCCCACGTGACAGGCCATCTGCCACTCTCCCGTAGGCGTGTTCACAAATCCTTCTCCACCCGTTGTCTCGCAGCCTTGTCTAGGGATTTTCATATTTTCCCATCCAAATCCACCTCTGAACTTGTGTGGTCATCCCTCTGTGGGAGGGAAAGGCTTGATGGCACTCATTTACCTTCCTGGGGGCTCAGTGCTGCCCGGCCCGACACAGCGCCGTCAGACGGAGCTCGCTCTCGGCTCAGGTCTTCAGCCCACAGACTAATGCCTTCGTCGTCTCAGCCTAGCACTGACCACACCGTGGCCATAACTTTTGAGCGTGAGTGTGTTTCTTCCTGCCGGCTTCACGGAGAGAAGGTTGGTGCTCACTGAGTCTTAGCAATCTCAGTGTAGGGGTTGTCTTCTTAGGTGGGGAACTCCGACCTTCTCATTACACCGCAACTTCTCGTTGGCGTATCTGCATTGCCAGCAGCAGACCGCTTGAGCTTAGGGGCCATTCTAAACAGAGTAAGGGGTCCTTGAATGTTAGCATTGTGACACTGTGATGGGGACTACAGGGAGGTAACGTACACACAGCGGATACGCTGGACAAGGGACTGATTCTCGTCCTGGGTGGGATGAAATTGAATCCCACAACTCAGAAAGGTGTGCAGACTTAAACTTCTGTAAGTTGTTCATCCCTGGACTTGTTCCACTGTGGTTGATCACAGGGAGCTGAAGCCTCAGACAGGGGCAGTGTGGGACATTGTGGGTGGGGAGGGGTCTTCTCCACGTTGGAGGTGGGTGGCTCCTTTGGATTTCACAGGCCCAGATTTGGAGGGAGTTTGCTTCAGGACAAATCAAGTCTGGAGCGGCACCCATACCTGATGTAGGTGAGACTCTGGGCTTACAATTGGTGTAGATGCGAGTTGGGGCTTGAGGATGATTGGGATGGGATGGATGTGTTTTACATGTGATAAGGCTGGAGTTTGGGGGTTTCCAGGGCACAATGCTGAGGTTCGAACAAGTCCTCCCCTGCATACAGGTGGAAGAATAACGGCCATGGCGGCAGTATGGAGAGGGAGGCTGGAGTGGGCGCTCAGCCCAGTGGTCAAGACACCCACATCTCATACCGTGTGTGGAGTGCCCGGGGTTGACTCCAGGCCCCTGCTCCTGACTCTGGCTTCCTGCCTATGCAACTGGGCTTCATGGTGCCACCTTCCTGGGAGACCTGCATAGCCTTCCCAACTCTTGTATCCACCCTAGTGCAGTCCCAGCCATTGTGGGCAAGTGAGGAGTGAGCCAGCAAGCAGGAGTGCGCTCTCTCTCTCTCACACTCTCTCTCATGCTCATTCTCTCTCTCTCTCTCTCTCTCTCTCTCTCTCTAATAAAATGTAGTGGGGCCCGCAGGAGGCAGTCAGGCTCCAGAGCTCTGCCTTCATGAAGGGATTACTGTTGTTATGACAGGGGAGCACCTGTTACCCCGGGAGTGGGCTGGACTCCGGGGAGTTGGCCCCGTTGTCCTCCATCTCGTGTGTCGGCCCGCCCCGCCAAGCTACCACTGGAAGCCCTCACTGCGCACCGGCACCCACAGGTGGGCTTCCGCCTCCGGGACTGACAGCCAGATGCACGGGTGCTGCCTGTGAATGGCTCAGTCCCTGCTTTCTCCTCTAACAGCCAGACACGGACGGACACAGCCTCTGCACCCCTGGAGCTCAGCGCCCGACTGCAGGAACAGACATTGAGTCAGAGACAGAGAGCGAGAGGGACCCAGGGAAACCCCAGGTGCTCACAGAAACAGAAGAGGCAGGGGACCCGCCCAGCTGTAGTCGTGGTGATCAGAGACCCTGGGGACCCGACGGGGCACCCTGCCAACTCTGTCTCCTGCCCCGCCCCTTCTGTTCCTGCCATTATTGCCGCTGTGGCTGTCACACAAGGGACGCTGGGAGCCTAGATGCAGGAGTGATCGCCCTGAGCTTCTGGGGCCCCTAAAGAGTCTGGGGCTGGGAAATGCCCAACATACCAGCACCCATACAACCCACACATGGGAACCCCTTTCCCATCATGGGCACCCGCAGAGACGCAAGAGGGTGGGACAGACGCCGGCAGACCTGGAAAACCTACGTGCCAAACAGAGCTGCAGACAGACAAGTGCTCACTGCCTCAGTGGAAATAAACAGACGCTCATGTGCACTCAACACCCCCTCCATCTCCCCCTGCAGGTCCCTGCCAACATCCAGGAAGGGGAGGGGGCAGAGTGACAGGCAGTGAGCTGTCACTGGGCTGCCCGGGCAGGAAGTGTGTATCCTCTGGCTCCCAAGTTCACACTGTGGTAATGAGGAGAGGAGAGGCGGGGAGTGGGTGAGGTTGATTACTGGGTGGGGATCCAGGCTCAGGTTAAAAGGCCCAGCGCGAGGAGGCTGCAGCAGGTGGACAGCCGACGGCCGGGACCATGGAGTTCAGCCTGCTCCTCCTCCTGGCTTTCCTCGCAGGCCTCCTGCTGCTTCTGCTCAGGGGCCACCCCAAGGCCCACGGCCGCCTCCCTCCGGGACCCCACCCTCTGCCCGTCCTGGGGAACCTTCTGCAGATGGACAGGAAGGGCCTGCTCCACTCCTTCCTGCAGGTGAGACACAGATGGATGGGTCGGTCCTGGTGAGCCCTCCCTGCTTGGGTGCCTGGGGCTCACATGCCAGAGAGAGCCGGGCCTGCTTCCAGGCTCCTGGAGGGAGTGGGGGCGCTGGCGAGCAAGGGGCGCAGAGCCAGAGTGTGGTGGTGGTGGTGAGATTGTCACGGGTGACTCTGCTCATCTGGAGCTGCAGGTGGACAGCACGGGGCATATGGGTGTGAGTCACGGGTGCTGAGTTTCACTCTCCCTGCCATTATTGTCACCTCCTTGGGTGCCCGCCTGTGCCTGGAAGAGAATGAGAAAGGGTGGTGACAGTAAATCATCAAATAGATTGTTGCGTCTGCCATCAAGAGGGAGCAAAGACCAGCCAAGCCAATGCCAGGAGCAAGGGGAGGGGGGAGGGAGAGCTGGAGGAGCTGGCGGGCGCGCTGGTCAGTGAAGCCTGTGATGGGTGCTGTGCTGCAGCAGGCTAGGCTGAGCCTGGGCCTCGGCATGCACACGCACTGCTTCTCTGCTCCCATCCAGCTTCCTGCTGATGCATCCAGGAGGCAGCAGATGATGGCGCCGGTGCTGGGGCCTGCACCCACATGGGAGACCCAGAGGGGGTCTGGGCTCCTGACTTCAGCCGGGCCAGACCTAGTGTGGGGGCATTTGGGGAATGACCTAGCAGATGTAGGATGTCTCTCTCTCCGCGGCTCCGGCCATTCCGGCCATTTGGGGAGTGAACCAAAGGAAGGAAGTCCTTTCTCCTGTCTCTCTCTCTCTCACTGTAACTCTACCTCTCAAATAAATAAATAAATAAATAAATATAACATTTTTAAAAAAGATTAAACATCAAAAGGAGAATGCACTGTAGCAGCAGCTGAGTCTCCAGCAGTGACTGCCGGCTACATCCGCTGCTTTGCATGCTGGTTTATTAACAATTAGCCAGCATCTGCTAACCCATTCCCAGCGGGATAATGGGAATGAGACAGTAACTTCTAGTTCCTCTGCCTCCTCCCCCTGCCAGACCAACCACATTCCTGAATCTTGTCATCTTATTGATTTGAAAGGCAGAGTTGCAGTTCAGGGCTAAGCCAGGACTCTAGAACTCCAGCTGGATCTCCCCCATGGGTGCAGGGGCCCAAGCACTTAGGCCGTCTTCTGAGCTTTCCCGAGTGCAGTAGCAGGGAGCTGGATTCGAAGTGGGGCAGCTGCGACTTGAACTGGGGTCCACATGGGATGCCAGCACTGCAGGCAGCAGCTTTACCTGCTATGCAACAGTGCCAGCCCTTCAAATTCATATATTCATTTGAAAGGCATAATTAGAGAGAGGAGAGAGATCTTCCATCCACTGGTTCACTCCCGACATGGCTACAATAGCTGGGCTGGGCCAGACAGAAGGCAGGAGCCAGGATCTCCATCCGGGTCTCTCCCATGAGTGGTAGGGTCCTGAGCACTTGGGCCATCCTCTGCTGCTTTCCCAGATGCATCAGAAGGGAGCTGGATGGGAAGTGGAGCAGCTGAGACTCGAACCAGCGATGCTATGGATGCCGGCATGGCAGGGGGGCGGCTTAGCCCCGGGTCACAAGGCTGGCACCTGATCCCCCTCTGTAAGGGCATTTTTGCCAGCGGCAGCTCAGTGGGGACGACCGTGCCTCCGCAGACAGAACCTGCTGTCTCACTGCTCCTCTTCTCTGCCAGGGCTGGCCATCAATCCCCACACAGTCCCTGCTCACCGTGAGAGGCACATCCGCCTTAAGATACGTGTGCATTTGTAGGGGTCTTGGCGGCTGTCTCCTAGCTCACAGGACGCCGGGACCTGTCAGCACCGCCAATGAAGGGGTTTCAGTTTCGGGTGGGGATGGGCTGGCGCTGGTCTCTGGAGACCCTTTCTGCATGGAGCAGTCTAAGACTCGGGTGTCCAAAACATTTCATCAAACGGCAGAGGATGTCATCGAGTGTTTGACACATGCGCTTCTCATTTGTTGGAAAGGGCAAGTTAACATCCTGTCACAGCAGTGCAGGAATGTTGTGTCACCTTTGTCCCTGCCGTGACAATGGCCCAGAGAGAACCCACAAAGGTCACCAGGGGTTGGACAGCATGGGGTGTGGCCAGGGCGATGGCTGCTGCCAGCAGCATTCGGTCAGCCCCTGGTCCCACCGTCTGTGGGGCACAGGGGCGCATTCAGGGACAGGAGGCCGAACAGCCCCTGCCCCTCAGGAGCTGGCAGTCGGACTGCAGAGACAGACGAAAGACACAGAATCCACACCGTGACAGTGAGCGCTCCGCTGGGTGGCAAGGGACACACTGAAGACCTGGGCATTTTAAGCTCACTCAAGGGTGGATCGAAGAGGGGGAGAGGGGAGAGGAAGGCGTCCCTGGCAGGCACTGGGAAAAAACTAGGATGAGACATTCCAGTTCTAGTCCCGGCTGCTCCTCTTCCAATCCAGTTCTCTGCTGTGGCCTGGGATAGCAGTAGAAGATGGCCCAAGTGTTTGGGCCCCAGCACCCGTGTAGGAGTACTGGAAGAAGCTCCTGGCTCCTGGATTCGGATTGGTGCAACTTCAGCTGTTTCAGCCATCTGGGGAGAGAACCAGTAGATGGAAGACCTCTCTCTCTCTCTCTCTCTCTCTCTCTCTCTCTCTCCCTCCCTCTGCCTCATCCTCTTTGTAACTCTGCCTTTCAAATAAACAAATGCAAATGTTAAGATTGATTAGAAAGGCCAGCATTGTGGTACAGTGGGTTAAGCTGCTGCCTGTGATGTTGGCATCCCATATGAGCACTGGTTCAAGTCCCGGCTGCTCCACTTCTGATCCAGCTCCCTGCTAATGGCCGGGGAAAGCAGCAGAAGTGGCCCAAGTGTTTGGGATGCCGGCACGGCAGGCCGTGGGAATACCCACTACGCCACAGCACCAGCCCCAACATTTGCATTTGATAATGAGCTTTTAATTTCAGTTACAGCTTTGTAATAACACTTTAAACTTTCTAGGCAAATGATCTTGTATTAAGATGCTGTCTTTGTTCAAAATGATTTCAGTATAACAAAAAATATTTTGAACAGAAAACACTTGTTGGTTCAGTGGTCTCCATATGTAGTCTTCTTTTGAGGATGGAGATGGTGAGTTTTAAAACATGCTAACACTTCAGAGAAATCTGTTATTCGTTCATTTTCAGTGTCTTAGCGAGAAGGCAGAGAGACAGAGACACAGAGCAAGAGCTCCTCCTGGCTCTGGTTCACTCCCCAAACAGCCACAGAGGCCAGGGCTGGCCTGGTAGAACCCAGGAGCCTGGAATTCCACCCAAGCCTTCCACCTGGGGGGCAGGGCCCAGGGATGTGGGCCGTTTTCTGCCGCCATCCAGGTGCTGGCCCAGAAGCCAAGGAGCCAGGCCAGGACCAGGCCCTCCAGCAAGAGAGGCAGGTGCCCCAGCAATGACCCAGCGGCTGCCCAACAGCCGCCCTGACTTCGAAATCCATTTCCCTGCGTGCGGCTGCCTTTGCTCGTGGACGACCTGTGCGACATGGGCCATGACAGGTGGTGAGATGCAGAAGGCACCTGGCCCAGGTGCACAGCTGGTGAGAGGGCAGCCGGGACCCTGAAACAAGAGGCCTCTTTGTCCCAAAGTCCCCTAGACTTAAGCACCTCAACTTGGGGATGGATTTATTGAAGCCGGCGGGAACCAAAGGGCGAGTTGAGGGAGAAGTAGTCAGAGACGTGTCCACACCATGGCGGCCCTGCGGAGCCTGGGAGGGCTTTACGCGGGCTGGGAGCTTCTAGTTGAATGGGATAACTCAGGTGTGGTCGAGCAGCGAGGCACTGAAGGGGGTACAGGAAGGGAGGCAGGGAGATGAGTGAGGGCCCTTCCAGAGACCAGAGCAGGACATGGCACACAGAAGACCCCACATCCCAGCGGGTTGTCGATGAGTCAATGAATGAATGAATGAGCGGATCCAGGTGATTGCTGTGGTGAGCACTGGAACGCCGGCTGTTCAGAATTCAAGCCTTCTGTACTGCTCAGGGCACCAACCAGTGGGGCAGGGCCTTGGGCTGCGGGGTCGCGGCAAGGGGAACGGGGAGCAGGGGGTCGGGGAGATGGCTGTGACCACTCTGTAGCCCACTGTCTCAGGTTCAGGAACTGACTGCCGCCGGCCTTGGGCGGGGTGTGCTTGGCAGCTCCGAGAGAAATACGGGGACGTGTTCACGGTGTACCTGGGATCCAGACCCGTGGTAATCCTGTGTGGGACGGATGCCATCCGCGAGGCCCTCGTGGACCAAGCTGAGGCCTTTTCTGGCAGGGGGAAGATCGCTGTACTGGATCCGATCTTCCAGGGATACGGTGAGAGCGGGCGCTGGGAGGGGTGCTCAGGGAAGGTGGGCCTGAGGTGTGGGGCGAGGGCTGGGGAGGCACCGAGTCTCCTTCCACCCCCCAGGAGTGATCTTTGCCAACGGGGAGCGCTGGCGGGCCCTTCGGAGATTCTCCCTGGCCACCATGCGGGACTTCGGCATGGGGAAGCGGAGCGTGGAGGAGCGCATTCAGGAGGAGGCCCGGTGTCTGGTGGAGGAGCTGCGGAAATCCAAGGGTGAGGCCGCGAGCCAAGGAGACGGGGCAGCGCCCGGCAACCGGAAACCCGAGAGAGGGGCAGACAGGGACCAGGAGGGGTGCGAGCTGTGGTGTCCCAGGACAACTGGGCGTCGCGCGTTGCTGCTTAACTCGCAACCTCGGAAAACCAGCTTCTGGCGACACCGGGACTCACATTAAAGGCAGCAGAGGGGGGCAGGGAAAGCACCGGGTGTTCTGCAAACAGCCAGCCCTGTTCCCCTCCCCGGTGAGGCTTGCTGAGCTGAGAGCCAAGGACCAGGTCGGGTGCTGTGCGCTCGGCGGCCAGAGGGGGCGCTAGAGGAACTCTCGTCGGGATTTCTGGAGTCTCTATAAGGGGCTTGGAGGTGACAGTGTTAGCCCCTCCATCTCCTGGATGTGGTCTTTGCCCTCTTTCTTACCCGAGTTTCTCAAGAGTTTCTGAGAGGCTGAGAAGGATGGAGAGAGAGAGAAGCGAGAGCGAGAGAGAGCGAGAGACAGAGGCAGAGCCAATGCCTGCAATGGGCAGGATGAGGCAGAGTGGAAGCCACGAACTGGGGTCTCAGCTGGGCAGGGCCCATCACTGCTGCCTTCCGGCGTCTGCACTGGCAGGAGCTGCAGTCAGGAGCTGGGCTGGGCATGGACCCCAGGTGCCCCTGTGGGGGATGGAGGAGGCCCAGCACCAGCCCCCCACGCCCTCCTCCCTACCCCCCACACCACCTCCAGCCATGGCCGGGGCGGGTGTGTCAGGCGGGTGCATAGTCATCAACTCACATCTGCAGAGCAGAGCCCTAGGGGTGGGCAGAAGAGACCAAGGGGGAGCCACAGACAGGGGGAGTGGTCAGTGTTTGATTGGATGCCTGTGGCCCTGGGACTGGTGCTCCAGCCTGGGTCCTGGGAGACCCACTCACTGCACATGCGCTGTGCAGCTGGGCTCTCCTCAGCCTCTCAGTTTGCCCACTTGGGAACCGGGGAGATCACAGGCTGTGCCTTCCTCCGCTGCTGTGGGGAGAATGAGACAGAGCAGCAGGGGAAGGGCCTAAGAGAGGACCCGACATGAATGTGCACGGGAGGCTGCCAGCTACGGCCGTTCCAGCCGATCATGACTGAGTGCTGGGGCGGTCACACAGCCGCACGTTCCCCAAGCCCGTGACTCTGTGTCTCCCCTTCTGCTGCTGCCTCCTCCTAGGAGTCCTCCTGGACAACACCTTGCTGTTCCACTCGGTCACCTCCAACATCATCTGCTCCATTGTCTTTGGAAAACGCTTCGACTACAAGGACCCCGTGTTCCTGAGGCTGCTGGACCTGTTCTTCCAGTCCTTCTCCCTCATCAGCTCCTTCTCCAGCCAGGTCTGCCTGGGTGGTGGTGGGGTGAGGTGGAGCAGGCAAGAATGAAAGGAGGAGGAGGAGGAGGAGCAGGAGGAAACACAGCCAGGGCAGACACTCAGGAGAGAGCAAACGTGGGAGGAAGACACAGAATGAGAGAAGAGAGTTAGACAGAGAGCAGAGGAGAGGGGCAGGTAGGGGCAGCTACCACAGAGGGACACAGGAGAGAGGAAGGAGCAGAGGAGAGCTGACTGCCAGAGACAAAAAGCAGGTGAAGGGTGGGGGTGGTCCATGAGGAGGCACAGGTGCCCAGGAGCCCCATCCTCCCGGCCCCGCCCCACATGACCCCACCGCACTCTCTTCTCCCCTGCAGGTGTTCGAGCTCTTCTCGGGCTTCCTAAAGCACTTTCCTGGCACGCACAGGCAGATCTACAGGAACCTGCAGGAGATCAACACTTTCATCACCCAGAGCGTAGAGAAGCACCGCGCAACCCTGGACCCCAGCAACCCCAGGGACTTCATCGACGTCTACCTGCTCCGCATGGAAAAAGTGGGGCCCGGGAGGGGGGAGGGGCATGGGTGAGGGGAAGAGAGAAGAAGGGAAGGAGGAGGATGAGAAAGAGAGGAGAAAATGGAGAGGGAGAGAGAGAGGGAGAAAGAGAGAGAGAGACAGAGATTGAGGGAAGTGACAAAAACAAAGCAGCAGGGGCAGAAACCCACAGAGCAAGGGTGACTAGGGAAACAGCAAAAAGGTGGAGAAGCAGAGGGGCGGGAAGAGAGGCTGGCACTGGGGCACTGGGCTGAGCTGTTCAAGTCCCGGCTGCGCTTCTCATCCAGCTCCCTGCTGATGGCCTGGGAAGGCAGAATGAGATGGCCCAAGTGCTTGGGGATGGAGCTCCAGGCTCCTGGCTTCAGCCTGGCCCAGCCCCAGCTGTTGCAGCCATTAGGGAAATGAACCATGGAAGATGGAAGATCTCTCTCTCTGTAACTCTGCCTTTCAAATAACTAAATCTTATTAAAACAGAGAGAAGAAGCACAGGAGTGCACAGGTGGAGGACAGGGAATAGCAGTGGATGAGACAGAGTGAGAGACTCAGAAATGGATGGTGAGAGACAGGCGGCTGGGCTCCAGCCTTGCTAACCCCCCCACCCCCACCCTGGGAATGCAGGACAAGTCCGACCCGAGCAGCGAGTTCCACCACCAGAACCTCATCCTCACCATGCTCTCGCTCTTCTTCGCCGGCACCGAGACCACCAGCACCACCCTCCGCTACGGCTTCCTGCTCATGCTCAAGTACCCACAAGTCACAGGTGGCTGTGGACGGGCTGCTGTGTGGGGGAGACGTTAGGCTCAGGGATGGCCCCCACCGAGCCAGTCCTGCGGGTGGGTGAGGGAAGAGCCTGCGGATCCGAGCTGGACCCACTGGGCCCTCACCCTCAGTCCCCCTGCACACTCCCGGGTCCGCTCCTCGAGTCATCCAGGGACACGGGTGTGTGTTCAGGGAGGCGCGCCCTGACCCTCTGGGCGGTGACAGCGGGACCGCCTTGACTCAGCAGCGCCCTCGTGTGCTCACCCTTGTCTGCAGCGGGCTTCCTCCCCTGCCCCTTCCCCAGCTGCCTCTCAGGCCTCACCACCCACGCAGCCTTCATGTTCCAGGACAATAATCCCCCCGTTGTGTCACCCCTGAGTCCTCACCATCACGCCCCCACCCATTCCTTCCTTTACATCCTCAGTCCTCGCAAATGTGTTCACTCTTCATTCTTCCATATTCCAGCCATCATCCTTCACGTCACTGGTTCACTGGGCTCATTGCCTTATGTTTCAATGGGCTGCTCATGAATGGGTCCATCCAGTTAATCCATAAGTGAATACATCCATACACTCTCTGGCTCGTCATTCATCATCAGTCTATTTATGACTGATCTGTCCATTGATTTGTTGATTACACATTCCCATTATTTATCTAGTGTTCATGGATTAATCTATTGATCGATTCCTTTGTTACACCCCTGAAAGTCTGGCATGGTCCCTCATTACCTACACACACTAAGTACTAGTTCATTTTCTCCTCACCTTAGAGAGGAGTTCTGACAGGAGTTCTCAATCTGAAATTCCTGAGGAACTCTGGGGTGTGTGTATGTGTGTGTGCATATCTCTGTTGTACCTGTGTGTGAACTTGTGTGTGCATTTGTATGTCACCTTGCATGTATATGTGCACGTGTGTGCATCTCTGTGCACCTGTACACTTCTGTGTGCATGTCTATGTGTGCACCTGTGCGTGTGAACTTGAGTGTGCATTAGTCTGTACATCAGTGTGCATATGTGTCTGTGCACCTATGCGTGTGAACTTGTGTGTGCACCTGTGCATGTGGGAGAGAACCCACATCACTCATCAGATTTACAGGCTGAGAATTCTTGTTCCTCCCTCCTCCCTTTGCCCCAGGCTGGGACTCTGAGGGGCACCAGTGGCCTCAGCTTTGACACAGGTGTCTCCTGGCCCACGGCGCCCTGGAAAGCAGGGTCTCTGCTGAGATGCCTCCTGCTTGGGGTTCCCTGGCCCCGCTTTTCCTTGCAGAGAGAGTCCAGAAGGAGATCGAGCAGGTGATCGGCTCCCACCGCCCTCCGGCCCTCGATGACCGAGCCAAAATGCCCTACACGGACGCGGTCATCCACGAGATCCAGCGGCTCGGGGACCTCATCCCCCTCGGTGCGCCCCACACGGTCACAAAAGACACGCAGTTCAGAGGCTATGTCATCCCCAAGGTGAAGCCAGCGGTCACCTGCCACTTCCTGCGGGCGTTCTTGGTCTTCCTAACTCCAAAATGCAGCCTCTCGTTGGTTTCCGTTGTGTCTGTTTTTTTTGGGGGGTGGGGGGTGCAGGAACCTGCATGGGGCCAGGGGCCGGCCCCCTCTCTAACCTTTGGACCTCCCTCAGAACACGGAAGTGTTCCCCGTCCTGAGCTCGGCTCTCCACGACCCGCACTACTTTGAAACGCCGAACACCTTCAACCCCGGCCACTTTCTGGATGCTGACGGGGCCCTGAAGAGGAATGAAGGCTTTATGCCCTTCTCCCTGGGTAAGCTCTGCCTGTGGCCACGCCCTAGGACCCCAGACCCCAGACCCCAGAATCCAGGGCCCTGCCCAGCCCCTTCTGGTTATGTTCCCTGTGGGATCCCAGCTGCCTGCAGGAGCCCAGCCCACTTGTCCTCCCTCTTTTAAAAAATTATTATTCTTCAATATGTATTTATTTATTTGAGAGAATTAGAGAGGGAGAGACAGAGGGACAGAGATGCAGAGAGAGAGAGAGAGAAAGAGAGAGAGGAGAGAGAGATCATCCATCCTCTGGTTCACTCCACAAATGGCCAAGGCTGTGTCAGACCAATGCATGGAGCTTCTTCCAGGTCTCCTATATGGGTGCAGGGCCCCAGGCACTGGCCGTCCTCCACTGCTTTCCCAGGCACATCAGCAGGGAGCTGGATCATAAGTGCAGCAGATAGTACTGGAACCAGCACCCATAAGGCTTTACCTGCCACACCACAGCACTGGCCCCTAAAATTATTTAAATTGTAGATCTTTTGGGATACCCTGTGGTAACCTGATACATGTAGTCAATTAGCAATGATCAAATCAGGTTGGTTAGCATCATCAACTCCTTAAACATGATTTAAACACCATCTGTCATCACAACAACCCCTCTAGGGGGCTGCAGAAAAGAGATTAGGTCCCCAAGGCAAACTCTGGGCAAGGAGGACCTGGGGCGAGGACTTTAACCTCACCACACTGAGTGAGATGAGTTTCTTCAAAGAGAAAGTCTGCAGAGCCCTACTCAGAGCTCACTGCCCTACTGGGACCCAAAGAACAGCTCACAGCAGGCACCTTAGACACAGCCGGGCAGTGCTTGGGCGATGCCCAGCAGATGGCCACTTCTGGGTCAGCAGGGTCAGGAAGGTGTGAAAGGTGGAGTGGAGGTCAGTTCCTCCCTTCACAGTCCTATCCCAGGTCCAGAGAGAGGTGGGGTGGGGGCGGAGAGGAGTACAGACAGGGGTGGAGAGGAGGATGGACAGAGATAGACAGAGACGAGGAAAGAGATGGAGCCGATGGCTGAGAGTGAGCGGTGAACAGGACACAGTGGCAGGGAGAGAGAAGGCTAAGGAGGAAGGAGGAAGGAGAGGGAGAGGTAGAAAAAAGGGAGTGATAGGAGTAGAGAGGGAGAAACAAATGAACAAGAAATAGTGTGCTTCGGACAGAGATGAAAATGGAGATTGAGAGAGAGAGAATCAGATCCATATCCAAAAGACAGAAAGGTGAAGATGAGATGGGCATAGACAAAGAGGCAGACTCCCACAGGCGTGAGAGTCAGAGATGCCAAACGGTGCCCCAATGGGCAGCTGCTGGCCGAGGGGGGTTTGGGGGAGAGATACACACTTGGGCTAGCCTGAAAAATCTGGGCCACAGAACCTGTTCTGGAAGGAGAAGCAGGCCAGAGACTGCCCTAAGCACTGATGACTCCTTTCTGCTGCTTTCTGGCTGGGCCGAAATGACACGGACCCTTGCACGGTCACCTGTCCGACCACCCGGACTCAATCTTCCAACCACTTGAGAGGGTGGAGGGGATGCCAGGAGACCCACATACACACTGGCCCTTTGAGAGACCCAAAAGTGAGGGGTGAGGCTCTGTGTCTGTGCTTGAAGTCCCAGGTGCTCGCCCAGCCTGGGGTCTACAACCTCCTGGGTGTCCCACACCCCCGGGACCCTCTTCACTGTGGCAAGCCTATTCACAATTTCAGTCAATCTGGGGGTTGTGGTTTTTTTTTTTTTTTTTTTTTTGACAGGCAGAGTCAGGCAGTGTCAGAGAGAGAGACAGAGAGAAAGGTCTTCAAGGTCTTCATTTTTCCGTTGGTTCATCCCCTAAGAGGCCGCTACGGCCAGCGCTTTGCGGCCGGTGCACTGCACCGATCCGAAGCCAGGAGCCAGGTGCTTCATCCTGGTCTCCCAAGCGGGTGCAAGGCCCAAGGACCTGAGCCATCCTCCACTGCACTCCTGGCCACAGCAGAGAGCTGGACTGGAAGAGGAGCAACCAGGATAGAATCCGACACCCCAACTGGGACTAGAACCCAGGGTGCCGGCACCGCAGGCAGAGGATTAGCCTAGTGAGCCATGGCACTGGCCTAGGGGTTGTATTTAAGTTCCTGAAGGCTGTGGATCTTAGGCTGAGAGCTGAACACAAGGCAGACATGTGGTGCCAAAGACGCCTGCCTGCCTCCCCCGCCACGCATGCTCCCAGGGACAAACTCAAATAGACACACCTGCAGGATTCCTCACAGGAGCTGGGTGATTTGCCAAGAGTTCTTACCCGTGGTAACTTCTTTTGAGCTCACAGTAGCCCTGTGAGAGAGGTACCATTCTCCACCATGAGAAATCCTGACTAGGGAATACACACACACACACACACACACACACATCCAGCCGGAAGTGGCTCCTTCACCCTGTAGGCTGCTGAACCATTTGGGAATCTGACAATAACTCCAGTCTCAGAGTGAACATGGCACACACATCCGAAGGCTGGCCACCGGTTTCAGGGGGTTTGGGAGCCCTCCCTGAGTAGCAGGTCAAAGGTGGAGCCCATGCAGGTCTGTTGCTACGGACACAGGTGAGTGATGTGGGCTGCTCTGTGTCCACAGGGAAGCGCGTTTGTCTGGGCGAAGGCATCGCGCGGACCGAGCTGTTCCTCTTCTTCACCACCATCCTGCAGAACTTCTCCATCGCCAGCCCCGTGCCTCCCGAGGACATCGACCTCACTCCCCGGGAGAGTGGCGTGGGCAACGTGCCCCCGAGCTACCAGATCCGCTTCCTGGCCCGCTGAAGGGGCCACGGGGACCCCCGGTCGTTAGGTGTCCCCGCCTCTGTAGAGAATGGCCCCAGACTCCTCCCGCATCTTCCTGCCTCTCAGACCTGGGGCCAGCCGGGACCCTCCCCTTGGTCTCCACGGTGTGAGGAGTCCTCTTTGTGGTCCCATCTCCTTCCAATGGGCTGCGGCTTTTGCAAAGACTCAGGGAAGTGTTCTCTTCCTGTCCTCCCTGCGTGTGGCACCAGCCCCAGCTGCTAGGTCAAGGATTATACCCAGTTTGCAGTTGAGGGACAGAGGGCAGGCAAGGTGCCAGCAGTCTGAGATCACTGTGCCCCTGAGTGGAGGAGAGAGAGCCACGATGTCGCCACAGCCCACTCTTTGCAGTCACGTAGTTAGGTTAAGATGCAGCCCACACAGCACGCACGAAGCCGTCCATTCAAAGGGATGGTTTTGTGATTTTCTCTCCTCCACAAGGTCCTTACAACCACAGGATCTGTGCCATTGCCCCAGGGGAATCCCCAAACCCACCAAGCTGTTGATGTCCCAGATAAACGGGGGTCACACCTCTGAGGTCGGCTGTGCCAGGTTCCTTGCACCTCACGCGGCGTCTTGAGGCCCAGGGATGCCCCCCCCCAACTCTTGGTGACCTCAGCTATGTCTTCCATTTGTGAAAGGCCCTGGGCTCCCTGAGATGGTCCCTGAGACTCAAGCAGACACACACACAGCCTGCCCTCCTCGGGCCGGGGGTGACCCCTGCTGTTTTGCGTGTGACCTGTTTACCGTCAGGTCCCTGGGGAAGACCTTCTGATGATTCCCTCTCCCCTCCGTCAGTGCCCACTCTGCTGTGCTGTTCATGGGCCCACTTCCCACATCTGGGGCAGTGTGTGGCATGTGACAGCTGTGCAGAAGGACTGCTCAGGGATGCATGGATGCATGAATGGATGGATGCATGAATGGATGGATGCATGGCCAAATGAGCCACCTCCTAGACCACCACAAGATGGAAACCAGGCCTCCTCCATCAGACTGTGGTACCATCTCCATATCTCACTTTCTTCTGATACCAGAATAAATTCCTGACCCTAAAGGACCCATGAGGGCCCTAGTCTTACCTCTCATGCTGCAATGCCACCTTGTGACAAAACTGGCCGAGCGCCCTCCTTGGGGCGGAGCCACATCCACACAGCCTGCACACATTCTACCCTTTCCAATGGGACAAGCTAGGCAGTCCAGGGCCCTGCCTGTGACGACACCGCCACACCAGCGGGTGGCCAATACCAAGCAGGCAATACCCCTGGACCAGAGGGAAGATCCTTTCTCCAGGCTGTGCCCAGGGTGAGCCAGGAAGAGTGGACTCTGCCCCCTCCCCCTGGGCACTGGTAGCGACGGCCAGGACAAGGGGGACAGCAGAGATTTTCCAACCAGGAACCTGCAAAAACCCAGAGGCAGGGACACAGCTGGGAGTAGAGACAGACAGAAAGAGAAGGCAGAGAGGCAGAGATGCTGAAAACCAGAGAGAAGTGGAGACCAGAAGAGGCACCGACAGGATGGATGCAGAGGGCGGCAGAGGGGAGAGAATAAGACAGGGAAGACAGCGAAGAGACCCAGCAACACCAAGAAAGACATACACTCTGGGCTGGCGCTGAGGCATTGTGGGCTGACTCCGCCCGCAGCGTCAGCATCCCATATGGGTGACGGTTCAAGTCCTGGCTGTTCCACTTCTGATCCAGCTCTCTGCTATGGCCTGCGAAAGCAGTAGAAGTTGGCCAAGTCCTTGGGCATTTGCACCTCTGTGGAAGACCAGGAAGAAGCTCCTGGCTCAGCTCCGGCCATTGTAGCCCTGTGAGAGTGAACCAGCGGATGGAAGATCGATCTCTCTCTCTCTTTCTCTCTCTACCTCTCTCTGTAACTCTCCCTTTCAAATAAGTAAATACATCTTTTAAAACAAGAGAGAGATGGCCGGTGCCATGGCTCACTAGGCTAATCCTCCGCCTGCGGCGCTGGCACCCCAGGTTCTAGTCCCGGTCAGGCCACCGGATTCTGTCCCGGTTGCTCCTCTCCCAGTCCAGCTCTCTGCTGTGGCCTTGGAAGGCAGTGGAGGATGGCCCAAGTGCTTGGGCCCTGCACCCGCATGGGAGACCAGGAGGAAGCACCTGGCTCCTGGCTTCAGATCGGCACAGCCTGCCACCCATAGCGGCATTTTGGGTGGTGAACCAACGGAAGGAAGACCTTTCTCCCTCTCTCTCTCTCTAACTCTGCCTGTCAAAAATAAATAAATAAATAACACACCGAGAGATACACTAAAACCCAGAGCAAGGTGGACATCTAGCCTGGTGGTTAAGACACCTGCATCCCGCACCAGAGTCCCTTGGTCCAACACTCAGCTCCTGCTGTGCTCCAATGCCCTGCTGATGCAGACTGGAGCTGGCGGTGATGGCTCACGTGGTCGGGTCCTGCCAGCCAATGGGAGACCTGGGCTGCTCTTGGCCTCCGGCTTTGGTCCCTGGATGCTGCAGTTATCTGGAGAGTAAAGCAGTGCACAGGAGCTCTGTTCCTCAGATAAATAAATAAACCCAGGCCAGGCCCCACCCATCGCCGTCTCAGAATCTTCCTGAAGGCTCAGAAGTGGCTGCTGTGCCTTCGCCCATTGTAGGAACGGATAACCGGAGGCGCACAACCGGCCCAAGGTAGGGGCAGTATTCAGCATGGGGAATGCCAGCGCTGGGGAAGCGGGGCGGCAGCGCCATCTGGCGGAAGAATGCCTGAACTGCTCCTTCTCCACGTGTATGCCGGGTTCCAGTCTCCAATGCCCACAATGGGCAGGGTCAGAGCCAGACATAAGCCAGGAGCCAGGAATGCCCATGTGGTGGGGTGGGGGCCCATCCACAGGAAAAAGACAGAGGAGGCAGACAACGACAAAGGATATTGAAAAGAGGGTGAAATTTAGAAAAGGAATGCGCACTGCGGATACCAAGGGATTCCACTTGTCTGGCTTAACAGGCACAGCACTCCCCACTTCCTAGAGGCAGAAGGGGGCGTGGCTCTGCAGGTCGCGTGTGGGCGTGTCCCAATCCAGGGGCGGGGCGGGGGCGGGGCTTAGCCTAGCTATAGGTGCCAGTCAAGACACCTGCCTGCCACATCAGTGCGCTGGGTAACAGTCCCAGCTCCAGCTCCTGACTCCGGCTTCCGGCCAACACAGACCTGGGAGGCAGTGCTGAGGGCTGGAGGGATGCGGTTCCACCGCCCACGAGGGAGAGCTGGGTGCACTCCTGCTCCTGCTGTGGGCATCTGGAGAAAGAGTCAGCCCAGGGGAGAGATGCACACTAGCTCCTTACCCCCTTTCAAACAAACAAGATAAGTCGCAGACTCCTGTGTTGGCTGTCAAGGCGGCAGCTGTGAGTCTGGGCGCTCGGCCCCACAGGAAGAAGGGGCCGCTGCACACGGCCCAGCGCACCAGTCCTCTGCGTGCAGAAGACATCGTGACCCACAGAGAGCAGCCTCCTGGCAGCCTCCTGGCCTCAGCCCTGCAGCGGGCTCCAGGACAAATGCGGCTTCCTGCGGCTCCGGCTGCTCCAGCCTGACCAGGGGCGGGCACTCTGCTTTCACGTTGTGAGATGATGACACCTCTGTCCAGTGAGCTCCGCTCAGCGCCCCACTGCTCCACTTCCCATCCAGCTCCCTGCTACTGCGCCAGGGAAAGCAGCAGAAGGCAGCCCCAGTGCTTGGTCACGTGGGAGACTTGGATGCAGCTCAAGGCCCCCGGCTTCAGCCTGGCCCAGCCCCAGCTGTTGCAGCCATTTGCGGAGGAAACCAGAAGATGGGAGATCTTTGTCTCTCCGTCTCTCTCTGGAATTCTGCCTTTCAAATGAAGAATCTGAAATGGATGTACCACATTCAGACAGATGTGGACACATAGATGATACACACAAATACAGCGTAGCTATATGGCAGAGATGACACAATGTATACTACAGACACAAAGTTCTACACCATACATGCTACACAGTGACTCATACACACAAGACAGACACAAGTGATATAGAAATAGAGACAACACAGAGAGAAGGCAGATAGATAATTATGTTGATGTCTAAGAAGCAAGATCGTTAGCGCTAAAGATGCCCTGAGGTGGTTTGTATACAACAAGCAAGAGATGTACTTGATTCTGACTTCATCCACTTTCAGAATAATGAGTTGGTTCCTTGGCATCCCTCAGAGTCACCTGTACAGTTTTATTTATTTATTTATTTATTTATTTATTTATTTATTTATTTTATTGCTTGAAAGGCAGAACACAGAGAGGCCCAGAGAGATCTTCCATCCATTGGTTCACTCCCCAAATGCCTGGGCCAGGCTGAAGCTGGGAACTCCATCCTGGTCTCCCACATGGGTGCCAGGGCCCAGGCACTTGAGCCATCGCCTACAGCCTCCCAGGGTGTGTGTGCACCAGTGGGAAGCTGGGTGGGAGGTGGAGTAGCCAAGACTCGAACCAGGTGCCCCACTGTGGGATGGGAGCTTCCCGAGCAGCGACTCTGAGCCCTGCACCGGGGCAGAGATTCCCCGAAACTCTTGATCGTGGGAGAGGTCTTGGCTTCGTCAGAATGCAGGACACAGGCAGCTGTGGCCTTGGGAAAACCAGTGTGGAGGGGAAAGCAGGTGCAACGAGGACCCTGTGAACTCTGTCCTCCAAGCAATAAGGTCAACAGTCAGTGTTGACTTGGCCTGGACTGCAGCCAAACTGATCCTAAGAACTGTGAGGGGAAGAGACTGAGGGAGCCAGGAGCTGTCAGTCAGGGCAGCCCAGCGCCTGGCTCCTGGGGGATTCCGGAGACCCGGGTCCCTGAATCACCTGTATCTAGGTGAGACGGGCTGAGAAACGGCCCCAGAGACCTCCTCGTCCTGATCCCAACCCCTCTGCTGCTCTCCCGTGCCTGCTGAGAGACACTGCAGAGCCCAGCGATCAGCCTGGCGGGGGCACACAGGGGAGCATGGCCATGCGCCTTAGTGGGGTTCCCGGGCTCGGTTCCCAGCTGCTGTGCCGGACTCCAGCTTCCTGCCAACCTGAGCTCCGGGAGCCAGTGCTGATGGCCCAGGGACTGGGTTCCTGCCACCCACGTGGGAGACCTGGATTCAGTGCCCAGCTCACGATTTCAGTCCCAGCCCAGCCCCAGCCATGGTGGGCATTCCGCGAGTGCAGCAACAGACAACAGTATCTCTCTCTCTCTCTCTCTCTCTCTCTCTCTCTCTCTCTCTTAAATAAATACAGTTTAAGAAAACGCAGAGGGAGACATAAGAAGGTGTGACAGGCAGGGCCATGGGGTGCAAGGTTGTCCTTGATTATCCTGAGCTATAAGAGGGATGCCGGAGCAAGGCGGTCAGGAGGCAGAGGCCTGGATGGCGGGGGGAGCAGGCAGGACCACCCCCAGCCCCCCACCCACCCCCAGCCTCCAGAAGGAACCAACCCTGGGGACACCTTGGTTTCAGCCACTCAGGATTCACCTCAGGCTCCGGGCTCCGCACCTGTCGGAGAATAAAGGAGTGTTGCTTTAAGTCACTAAGGGTGGGGTCATTTGTCACAGCAGCAAGGGCAGGGAGGCCCTGCCTGAGTGCTCCCGCCCCTTCCATACCCTGCGTGGCTTTTGTGTGGCAACACGGACTCCAGGGGTCCTTCTGCCTATTAGCCCCACCCCATCCCTGCCCATCACACCGCCTGTCGCCCCCACGTCCCTGCCCTCTCTGGACTCCTTCTGAGGTCTGGCTCAGCATCAGGGGTCAGGATTTTTAGACTCCAAGCCAAACAGTTAGAGCTTCTTCCAGGTCACTCAGCCACACCCCTGCCTCTCGGAGAAACGGCTCAAGAAACCAAAGAACTCACTCCACTTGGTAAAGACCTTGGCGGTCCCAGGGATTTCCTTATCTTCCAAAGAAATCAGGCTGTCCAAGTGCCAGCAGGGAGCGTGCCCACGCCTCCTCAGCCGCGTGGTGACCCGGTGACAGCTGCGCCTTTGGAAAACCAGGGCCGTGTGCCGCGGCTCAGGATGACGTCAGCAGCACTGACTCCAGGTTTCCAGCAGCATGGCACAGGCTGCGGATCCACGCCGACCTGGGGTCAAGCCCCGAGCCTGGGTCCCCAAAGGCCCTGGGACAGTGACTTTACACTCTGGGCTTCAGTTTCCGCACATGAACACGGGAATTCAGAGGCTGGTGTTGGGAAGCAGTTGAGCCAGCACGTGGGACGCCCACATCCCGCATCAGAAGAGCAGGTTTGAGTCCCGGCTGCTCTGCTTCCGATCCAGCTTCCTGTGAATGCATCCGGGAGGCTGTGGATGATGGCAACGGTACTGAGGCTCGTGCCACCCATGTGGGGGCCTGGCTGGGGGTGTGTAGCAGGTTATGCCACTGTCTGTACCACTGGCATCCCACGTGAGAGCCAGTTCAAGTCCCTGCAGCTCCACTCTCAAGCCAGCTCCCTGCTAATGCATTTGGGAAAGCAGCAGAATTGGCCCAAGTGCTTGGGCCCCTGCACCCACATGGGAGACCCGGTTGAAGCTCTTTTTTTAAATGATGCATATTGGGCATTGCCTAAAATATCCCTAACAACATGGCGCCTGGTGGATGTTTGGGGATGTGTCTGAGGCTGCTGGGGTTAAACCACGTGAGATCGGACCACCTGCAGGGAGAGGTCCGATTTAGTTCTGGACACGTGGACAGTGCTTAAGATGCCCCATGTGTGTTCCACCCATGCCTGCATGACCTTTTCGCTGATCGGCTCCCCTACTGCGCATGTCTTTCGTAAGCTCCATAAGCCTGCACACTTCCTCAGTAAAGCAGTTCCTGCTTCAACAGAACTCACGGGTGCTTGCTGCGGTGTGCTTGACCCATCGACCTTACCTCTCCCGTTCACCTCGTCGGGGAGGGCTTGTACTGTCCCCTGCTGGTCAGGGGCCAGCCTCAGGCTTAAGGCCCCAACAGATGTATTTATTTATTTGAAAGGCAGAGTTACAGAGAGACAGAGAGAAGTCTTTCATCTACTGGTTCCCTCCCCACATGGCCACAATAGCTGGATCTGGGCCGATACAAAGCCGAAAGCCTAGAGCTTCTTCTGGGTCTCCCACGCGTGTGCAGGGACCCAAGCACTTGGGTCATCTTCCACTGCTTTCCCAGGCCATCAGCAGGGAGCTAGGTTGGAAGTGGAGCAGCTGAGTCTCAGACTGGTGGCCTTATGTGATACTGGTGCCAGAGGCGGTGGCTTTACCTGCTATGCCACAGCCCCAGCCTCTAAATCTCTCTCTCTCTCCCTTTAAAGATTATTTAATTGTTAGGCAGAAATATAGAGAGAAAGAGAGAGATCGTCCATCCACTAGTTCACTCCCCAAATGACCAGAGTCACTGGAGCTGGGCCAGGCCAAAGCCAGGAGCCAGGAGCCTCATCTGAAGTGGAGCAGCCAAGACTTGAACTGCCACAAACCCGGCTCCCTAAATAAATAATTCATTTAAAAAAGGAGGGGGCCAGCGCCAAGGCTCACTTGGTTTATCCTCCGCCTGCGGCACTGGCATCCCACATGGGTGCTGGGTTCTAGTCTCCTCTTCCAGTCCAGCTCTCTGCTGTGGCCTTGGAAGGCAGTGGAGGATGGCCAGGTGATTGGGCCCTGCACCCGCATGGGAGACCAGGAGGAAGCACCTGGCTCCTGGCTTCGGATTGGCACAGCACAGGCCGTAGCAGCCATTTGGGGAGAGAACCAACAGAAGGAAGACCTTCCTCTCTGTCTCTCTGTCTCTCTTTCTCTCACTGTCTATAACTCTACCTGTCAAATAAATAAATAATAAATAAATAAATGAAAAAGCAGGAACAACTTAATGAATTTCATCTGAGAAATCATTACACTGTCTTCTGGGACTGGAGCACAGTGGATTTTTGGCTTCCAGCATAAATGAAGCCCAGAGACTGAGGGGCTCTGCTGTCCTGATGTTCCCTGGATCCAGCTGTGTAAGGTGTGAACACAGTCTCTCCATGCTTGCAGCACGAGAGAAAAGGGACAATGGTTGTTAAGTGAACATCAATTTAAGGAAAAATACCAACAACTTCATGTCAAAAAGTGTAAAGTTAAGTGGACAGATTCCTTAAAATATGACTTGCCAACATCGACACAAAAGAAATAACAGGCATGAATAATTCCAAAATGATGGCAGCAACGGAGCCCCTAGCAGAGGCTGTCCCCTCCTGGGTGCACAGTGACGTCACCGAGAACACTGAAGGGAGAAACAAAGCTAATCCTGCACAGACGCGGTCAAGGTGAAGAGATCACAAGATGGCTCCCCCCACCATACTTCTTGGCATATGTAATTTTTAAGAGATTTCTATTTATTTGAATGAGAGAGAGAGAGAGAGAGAGAGAGAGAGAGAAGAGACAAGGCGAGAACGAGATCTTCAGTCCCCTGGTTCACTCCCCAAATGGCCCCAATAGCCCAGGGCAGGTCCAGCCTGAAGCCAGGACCCCGGGGAGGCAGGGCGGCCCCAGGCCCAGAGGAGCTGAGGCCAGTGAGGCCCAGGACGAGCGAGAAGGCGGACAGCACCATGGTCCCCTCTCTGCCTGCCGTGAGCTCTGCCGCCTCTTAAAGGCAGCTGCTCCGATGTTTGATTTCTGTGATTGGGGGCTGGGCTGCCAGGACTCCACCCTGGCAGAGCTCCTGGTGACTCTCCAGAGGCTGCAGGAAGCCCAAAGGGGGCGGGGCCACAGGAGCCAGGAGCTCAGCATCTCAGGCTTAAGTCCCAGGGCCGCCTTCCCATTGGCTGCCCGCTGGTGTGGCGGTGTCATCACGGGCAGGGCCCTGGACCACCCAGCTTGTCCCACTGGAAAGGGTGGAATGAGTGCAGGCTGTGTGGATGGTGGCTCCGCCCCAAGGAGGGCGCTCGGCCAGTTTTGTCACAGGTGGCATTGCAGCATGAGAGGTAAGACCAGGGCCCTCATGGGTCCTTTAGGGTCCAGGAATTTATTCTGGTATCAGAAGAAAGCAAGATATGGAGATGGTACCACAGTCTGATGGAGGAACCTGGCTGCCCATCTGGGGTGGTCTAGGAGGTGGCTCATTTGGCCATGCGTCCATCCATGCATCCATCCATTCATGCATCCATGCATCCCTGAGCAGTCCTTCTGCACAGCTGTCACATGCCACACACTGCCCCAGCTGTGGGAAGTGGACCCATGAACAGCACAGCAGAGTGGGCACTGATGGAGGGGACAGGGTCTCACAAGAAGGCCTTCCCAGGGACCTGACGGTAAACAGGTCACACGCAAAACAGCAGGGGTCACCTCCCGGCCCGAGGAGGGCAGGCTGTGTGTGTGTCTGCTGAAGTCTCAGGGACCATCTCAGGGAGCCCAGGGCCTTTCACAAATGGAAGACGTCGGGTGACGCCACCAAGAGTGGGGGGAGGGGGGGGCGTCCCTGGGCTTCAAGACACCGCGTGAGGTGCAAGGAACCAGGCACAGCCGACCTCAGAGGTGTGACCCCCGTTTATTTGGGACATCCACAGCTTGGTAGGTTTGGGGTTTCCCCTGGGGCAATGGCACAGATCCTGTGGTTGTAAAGACCTTGTGGAGGAGAGAAAATCACAAAACCATCCCATTCAATGCATGGCTTCGTGCGTGCTGTGTGGGCTGCATCTTAACCTAACTACGTGACTGCAAAGAGTGGGCTGTGCGACATCGTGGCTCTCTCTCCTCCACTCAGGGGCACAGTGATCTCAGACTGCTGGCACCTTGCCTGGCCTCTGTCCCTCAACTGCAAACTGGGTATAATCCTTGACCTAGCAGCTGGGGCCGGTGCCGCACGCAGGGAGGAGAGGAAGAGAACAGTTCCCTGAGTCTTTGGAAAAGCCGCAGCCTGGTGGAAGGAGATGGGACCACAAAGAGGACTCCCCACGCCGAGGAGGCCAAGGGGAGGGTCCGGGCTGGCCCCAGGTCTGAGAGGCAGGAAGATGTGAGAGGAGTCTGGGGCCATTCTCTACAGAGGTGGGGACACCTGACGACCGGGGGTCCCCGTGACCCCTTCAGCGGGCCAGGAAGCGGATCTGGTAGCTCGGGGGCACGTTGCCCACGCCACTCTCCCGGGGAGTGAGGTCGATGTCCTCGGGAGGCACGGGGCTGGCGATGGAGAAGTTCTGCAGGATGGTGGTGAAGAAGAGGAACAGCTCGGTCCGCGCGATGCCTTCGCCCAGACAAATGCGCTTCCCTGTGGACACAGAGCGGCCCACATCACTCACCTGTGTCCATAGCAACAGACCTGCATGGGCTCCACCTTTGACCTGCTACTCAGGGAGGGCTCCCAAACCCCCTGAAACCGGGGCCAGCCTTCACACGTGTGTGCCGCGTTCACTCCACTGGAGTTATTGTTGGATTCCCAAATGGTTCAGCAGCCTGCAGGGTGAAGGAGCCACTTCCGGCTGGATGTGTGTGTGTGTGTGTGTGTGTGTGTGTATTCCCTAGTCAGGATTTCTCATGGTGGAGAACCGTACCTCTCTCACAGGCCTCTGTGAGCTCAAACAACTCTTGGCAAAGCACCCTGCTCATGTGCGGAATCCTGCAGGTGTGTCTATTTGAGTTTGTCCCTGGGAGAGTGGGGGGAGGGGAGGCTGGGCGGGCATCTCTGGCACCAAGTGTCTGCCTTGTCTTCAGATCTCAGCCCAAGATCCACGGCCTTCAGGAACTCAAAAAAAATCATCCCCCAGATTGTGTGAAACTGTGAACAGGCTCACCACAATGAGAGGGGTCCTGGGGGTGTGGGACACCCAGGAGGTTGTAGACCCTTGATGTGGGAGCACCTGGGACTTTGAGCCCAGACACAGAGCCTCACCCCTCACTTTTGGGTCTCTCAAAGGGCCAGTGGGTGTGGGTCTCCCGGCATCCCCTCCACCCTCTCAAGCAGTTGGAAGATTGCGCTCGGGTGGTGGGACAGGTGACCAGGCTAGGACCGTCTCGTTTCGGCACAGCCAGAAAGCAGCAGACAGGAGCCATCAGTGCTTACAGCAGTCTCTGGCCTGCTTCTCCTTCTTGAACAGGTTCTGCGGCCCAGATTTTGCAGGCCAGCCCGAGTGTGTCATCCCCCACCGGACGCCCCCCTCGGCCAGCAGCTACCCGTTGGGACACCGTTTGGTGTCTCTGACTCTCACACTTGTGGGAGTCTGTCTCTTTATCTATGCCCGTCTTATCTTTACCTTTCCGTCTCTTTTTGGATCTGCTTCTCCTTTCTCTCTCTCTCTCTCTCTCTGTCTCTCTCTCTCTGTCTCTCTGTCTCTCTTCTCTTTCATTTTCATTTCTGTCAGAAGACACAGTATTTATTGTTCATTTTGTTTCTCTCTCGCTACTTTTTTTTTTTTTTTTTTGGACAGGCAGAGATAGACGTGAGAGAGACAGACAGAGAGAAAGGTCTTCCTTCCGTTGGTTCACCCCCCCAAATGGCCGCTAAGGCCGGCACGCTGAGCCGATCCGAAGCCAGGAGCCAGGTGCTTTGTTTCCTCCTGTTCTCCCATGCGGGTGCAGGGCCCAATCACTTGGGCCATCCTTCACTGCCTTCCCAGGCCACAGCAGAGAGCTGGACTGGAAGAGGGGCAACCGGGACAGAATCTGGCGCCCCAACCGGGACTAGAACCCGGGGTGCCGGCGCCCCAGGCAGAGGATTAGCCTAGTGAGCCCCAGCACAGGCCATCCCTCTCTACTCTTATCACTCCCTTTTTTCTATCTCTCCCTCTTCTTCCAGAAGGGGCTGGGCGGAGCCCTTGACTCTGGGGTCTGGGGTCTGGGGGCGGGGCTACAGGCAGGCTTACCCAGGGAGAAGGGCATAAAGCCTTCAATCCTCTTCAGGGCCCCGTCGGCATCCAGAAAGTGGCCGGGGTTGAAGGTGTTCGGCGTTTCAAAGTAGCGCGGGTCGTGGAGAGCCGAGCTCAGGACGGGGAACACTTCCGTGTTCTTAGGGAGGTCCAAAGGTTAGAGAGGGGGCCGGTCCCTGGCCACATGCACGATCCCCCTCCCCTCAAAAAAACACAACAGGAGCCAACGAGAGGCTGCGTTTGGGAGTTAGGAAGACCAAGAACACACGCAGGAAGAGGTGGGCACCACTGGCTTCACCTTGGGGATGACGTAGCCTCGGAACTGTGTGTCTTTGGTGACCATGTGGGGCACCCCTAAGGGGATGAGGTCCCCGAGCCGCTGGATCTCGTGGATGACCGCATCCGTGTAGGGCATTTTGGCTCGGTCATCGAGGGCCGGAGGGCGGTGGGAGCCGATCACCTGCTCGATCTCCTTCTGGACTCTCTCTGCAAGGAAAAGCGGGGCCAGGGAACCCCAAGCAGGAGGCATCTCAGCAGAGACCCTGCTTTCCAGGGCGCCGTGGGCCAGGAGACACCTGCGTCAAAGCTGAGGCCACTGGTGCCCCTCAGAGTCCCAGCCTGGGGCAAAGGGAGGAGGGAGGAACAAGAATTCGCAGCCTGGATGTGGGTTCTCTCCCACACACACAGGTGCAGACACATACACGTTCACAGGTAACACATATACAAATGCACACACAAGGTCACATGCACAGGTGTACACATAGGAATGCACACACACATACACACACCCCACAGTTCCTCAGGAATGTCAGATTAAGAACTCCCGTCAGAACTCCTCTCTAAGGTGAGGAGAAAATGAACTAGTACTTAGTGTGTGTAGGTAATGAGGGATCATGCCAGACTTTCAGGGGTGTAACAAAGGAATAGATCAATAGATTAATCCATGGACAACAAGATAAATAATGGGAATGTGTAATCAACCAATCAATGGACAGATCAGTCATAAATAGACTGATGATGAATGACGAGCCAGAGAGTGTATGGATGTATTCACTTAGGAATTAACTGGATGGACCCGTTCATGAACAGCCCATTGGAACATAAGGCAATGAGCCCAGTGAACCAGTGACGTGAATGGATGATGGCTGGAATATGGAAGAATGAAGAGTGAACACATTGGCGAGGACTGAGGATGTAAAGGAAGGAATGGGTGGGGGCGTGATGGTGAGGACTCAGGGGTGACACAACGGGGGGATTATTGTCCTGGAACATGAAGGCTGCGTGGGTGGTGAGGCCTGAGAGGCAGCTGGGGAAGGGGCAGGGGAGGAAGCCCGCTGCAGACAAGGGTGAGCACACGAGGGCGCTGCTGAGTCAAGGCCGTCCCGCTGTCACCGCCCAGAGGGTCAGGGCGCGCCTCCCTGAACACACACCTGTGTCCCTGGATGACTTGAGGAGCGGACGCGGGAGTGTGCAGGGGGACTGAGGGTGAGGGCCCAGTGGGTCCAGCTCGGATCCACAGGCTCTTCCCTCACCCACCCGCAGGACTGGCTCGGCGGGGGCCATCCCTGAGCCTAATGTCTCCCCCTCACAGGAGCCCGTCCACAGCCCACCTGTGACGTGTGGGTACTTGAGCATGAGCAGGAAGCCGTAGCGGAGGGTGGTGCTGGTGGTCTCGGTGCCGGCGAAGAAGAGCGTGAGCACGGTGAGGATGAGGTTCCGGTGGTGGAACTCGCTGCTCGGGTCGGACTTATCCTGCGTCCCCCGGCGGGGGGGGGGGGGGGGGGGGGGGGGGGGGGCGGGGAGGGAGGGTGGGACCGTCAGCAAGGCTGGAGCCCAGTTCTCATGAATCTCTCCATCCGTTTCTGGGTCTCCCACTCTGTCTGGTCCACCATGATTCTCTCTATCTGTCTACTCCTGTGCTTCTCTTTCTTTTAATAAGATTTAGTTATTTGAAAGGCAGAGTTACAGAGAGAGATCTTCCATCTGGTGGCTCATTCCCCTAATGGCTGCAACAGCTGGGGCTGGGCCAGGCTGAAGCCAGGAGCCTGGAGCTCAATCCCCAAGCACTTGGGCCATCTCATTCTGCCTTCCCAGGTGCATCAGCAGGGAGCTGGATGAGAAGTGCAGCCGGGACTTGAACCATCGCTCGTGTGGGACCCAGCATCGTGTGCAGCAGCTCAGCCCAGTGCCCCAGTGCCAGCCTCTCTTCCCGCCCCTCTGCTTCTCCACCTTTCTTGCTGTTTCCCTCATCACCCTGGCTCTGTGGGTTTCTGTCCCTGCTGCTTTGTTTTTGTCACTTGCCTCAGTCTCTGTCTCTGTCTCTGTCTCTCTCTGTCTTTCCCTCTCTTTTCTCCCTCTCTCTCTCTCCCTCCCTCTCTACCTACCCATCTTTCCCCTCCCTTTCCCATCCTCCTCCTTCCCCTCTTCTCTCTTCCCCTCCCCCACGCCCCTCCCCTGAACCGGCCCCACTTTTTCCATGCGGAGCAGGTAGACGTCGATGAAATCCCTGGGGTTGCTAGGGTCCAGGGTTGCGCGGTGCTTCTCTACGGTCTGGCCGATGAAAGTGTTGATCTCCTGCAGGTTCCTGTAGATCTGCCTGTGTGTGCCGGGAAAGTGCTTTAGGAAGCCCGGGAAGAGCTCGAACACCTGCAGGGGAGAAGAGAGTGGGGTGGGGTCATGTGGGGCGGGGCCGGGTGGATGGGGCTCCTGGGCACCTGCGCCTCCTCGGGGACCTCCCCCCCACCCCTAGCTGGCTCTCACTCTTGCTCTCACTCGCTTTTTGTCTAGGGCAGTCACTGTTCTCCTCTGCTCCTTCCTCTCTCTCTGTGTCCTTCTGTGGCTAGCTGCCCCCTCCCCATCCGACTCTCTCTGCCCTTGTCTGGTCTTCTCTCTTTCCTTCCCTCTCTCCCTCCCAAGCCCTCACGTTCTCTCTCCGACTCTTCTATTCCCGCCTCCCCTCACTCTCTCCTGAGCCCCGGTCCTCGGGTCCCTGTCACTGCCACCCTCCAGATCCTGGCATCCCTGTCCCTCTGGCTGTCTCTGTCTTCCCTCCTGCCCTAAGCTGCCTTTCTGAGACCCCAGAGCAGGTCCTCCTCAAACTCCTCCTCCTCCTCTTCCTCCTCTCCGCCTCCTCCTCACCTGCTCCAAGAATCCCCACCACTCCACCTCACCCCACTCCCACCCCAGGCAGACCTGGCTGGAGAAGGAGCTGATGAGGGAGAAGGACTGGAAGAACAGGTCCAGCAGGCGCAGGAACACGGGGTCCTTGTAGTCAAAGCGTTTTCCAAAGACAATGGAGCAGATGATGTTGGAGGTGACCGAGTGGAACAGCAAGGTGTTGTCCAGGAGGGCTCCTAGGAGGAGGCAGCAGCAGAAGGAGAGACACAGAGTCTCGGGCTTGGGGAACGTGCGACTGTGTGGCCGCCCCAGCACTCAGTCATGATCGGCTGGAACGGACGTAGCTGGCAGCCTCCCGTGCACATAGCATGTCGGGTCCTCTCTTAGCCCTTCCCCTGCTGCTCTGTCTCATTCTCCCCACAGCAGTGGAGGAAGGCACAGCCTGTGATCTCCCCGGTTCCCAAGTGGGCAAACTGAGAGGCTGAGGAGAGCCCAGCTGCACAGCGCATGTGCAGTGAGTGGGTCTCCCAGGACCCAGGCTGGAGCACCAGTCCCAGGACCACAGGCATCCAATCAAACACTGACCACTCCCCCTGTCTGTGGCTCCCCCTTGGTCTCTTCTGCCCACCCCTAGGGCTCTGCTCTGCAGATGTGAGTTGATGACTGTGCACCCGCCTGACACCCCAGCCCCGGCCATGGCTGGAGGTGGTGTGGGGGGTAGGGAGGAGGGCGTGGGGGGCTGGTGCTGGGCCTCCTCCATCCCCCACAGGGGCACCTGGGGTCCATGCCCAGCCCAGCTCCTGACTGCAGCTCCTGCCAGTGCAGACCCCGGAAGGCAGCAGTGATGGGCCCTGCCCAGCTGAGACCCCAGTTCCTGGCTTCCACTCTGCCTCATCCTGCCCATTGCAGGCATTGGCTCTGCCTCTCTCTCGCGCGCTCTCTCTCTCTTGCTCGCTCGCTCTCTCTTCTCCAGCCTCTCTCAACTCTGCAGAAACTCAGGTAAGAAAGATGGCAAAGACGACATCCAGGCGCTAACACTGTCACCTCCAAGTCCCCTTATGGAGACTCCAGAAATCCCGACGAGAGTTCCTCTAGCGCCCCCTCTGGCAGCCGAGCGCACAGCACCCGACCTGGTCCTTGGCTCTCAGCTCAGCAAGCCTCACCGGGGAGGGGACAGGGCTGGCTGTTTGCAGAACACCCGGCGCTTTCCCTGCCCCCCTCTGCTGTCTTTAATGTGAGTCCCGGTGTCGCCAGGAGCTGGTTTTCCGAGGTTGCGAGTTAAGCAGCAACGCGCGACGCCCAGTTGTCCTGGGACACCACAGCTCGCACCCCTCCCGGTCCCTGTCTGCCCCTCTCTCGGGTTTCTGGTTGCCGGGCGCTGCCCCGTCTCCTTGGCTCGCGGCCTCACCCTTGGATTTCCGCAGCTCCTCCACCAGACACCGGGCCTCCTCCTGAATGCGCTCCTCCACGCTCCGCTTCCCCATGCCGAAGTCCCGCATGGTGGCCAGGGAGAATCTCCGAAGGGCCCGCCAGTGCTCCCCGTTGGCAAAGAACACTCCTGGGGGGTGGAAGGAGACTCGGTGCCTCCCCAGCCCTCGTCCCCACACCTCAGGCCCACCTTCCCTGAGCACCCCTCCCAGCTCCCGCTCTCACCGTATCCCTGGAAGATCGGATCCACCACGGCGATCTTCCCCCTGCCAGAAAAGGCCTCAGCTTGGTCCACGAGGGCCTCGCGGATGGCATCTGTCCCACACAGCACGACCACGGGTCTGGATCCCAGGTACACCGTGAACACGTCCCCGTATTTCTCTCGGAGCTGCCAAGCACACCCCGCCCAGGGCCGGCGGCAGTCAGTTCCTGAACCTGAGACAGTCGGCTACAGAGTGGTCAGAGCCATCTCCCCGACCCCCTCCTCCCCGTTCCCCTTGCCCCGACCCCGCAGCCCAAGGCCCTGCCCCACTGGTTGGTGCCCTGAGCAGTACAGAAGGCTGCGAATTTCTAACTCCTCCAGGACAGCACCCTGAACTCCAGCCGAGTCTCTGGCATCACAGCCCGAGAGTCCTCCTCTCGTGTCCCTGCTTAAAATCTGCTGTCTATGGCCTGGCTCTGGCTACTCCTCCCCAGCTCACCCTTTGGTTCACGCCAGCCTTGATAAATCGTTAAAATAAATAAATAAATAAATAAATAAATCTGAGTCTGGAATGTGAACTCACACCTCAGTCCCAGCCCTTCCTGTGTGACACACAGTCCCTTCCCTCCCTGTCCCCCAGCCCTGGGAAAGCCGCCATCATAATGCAAGTTCCTCCGAGGGCTTCAGGGGCGCTGTGAGCCTCGGAACCCTGTGCAAAGCGTGCGTGCATGCACAAAAGGGAGGCCCCACTGCTCTGATCACATTCTCGGAGGGTTTAGAGTCCCCACATTTTTTATAGATGTACTTGTCTATTGAGAGGCAGAGTTACAGAGTGAGAAGGAAAACTCAGATCTATCCACTGGTTCACTCCCCAAATAGCTGCAACCTCCTACTGGGCTGGTCCCCGCTCAGGAGCCTGGAGCCTCATCCGGGGGTCCCACGTCAGTGCAGGGGCCCACGTACTTGAGCCACCTTCCCTGCCTTCCCAGGTGCATTAGCAGGGACTTGGATCGGAAGTGGAGCTGCTGACACTTGAACCAATGCCCATATGGGATACCAGCATCGTCATAGACGCAACCTGCTATGAAGCAAGGCCAGCTCTGTCCCCAAGTTGAGTGGACCCAGCCAGTGCATGATCTCTCTTCCTCTCTGAAACTCTGCCTTTCAAATAAGTCAAATATGTCTTTAAATAAAAAATGGGGGTGAAGAGGATGTGAGGAAGCCAGGCCATCCTTGCGCATAGTCCCCTCTGTGCATGGCTGTGTCCCTCCGCGGCGCTGGGACACAGCCATGGCTGAGCCCACAGACTTGCGCCCTCCAGAACAGCAAGCTGCTTGCATCTCTACCTGACCCGGTACCCAGCCCCAGGTCCTTTGCTGCAGTCAGAGAAAAGAGGCTCAAACACCTCGCCTGCCCTGACTGCCGCCTTCTCGCTGACCCCTCCCCCAGGCTGCCTCTGCAGCTTGGACAGCTGCCGGGTCTCTCCCCACCTGCTCCGCACTCACCTGGCATGGCTCATTCCCCTCCTTTTCCCTAACACCCACCAGGGACGCCTTCTTCTCCCCTCTGCCCCTCTTTGATCCACCCTCAAATGATCTGAATGGCCCGGGTCTTCATGAGTGTCCCCTGCCACCAAGTGGAGCGCTCACTGACACCGCGTGGATTCTGTGTCTTTTGTCTGTCTCTGCAGTCCCCCTGTGAGCTCCCGAGGGACAAGGGCTGTTCGGCCTCCTGTCCCTGAATGGGCCCCTGTGCCCTGCAGATGGTGGGACCAGGGGCTGACTGAATGCCGCTGGCAGCAGCCATTGCCCTGGCCACACCCCATACTGTCCAACCCATGGCGACCTCTGTGGGTTCTCTCCGGGCCAGTTTCACTGCAAGGACAAAGGTGACGCAACATTCCTGGTCTGCTGTGACAGGATGTTAACTTGCCCTTTCCAACAAATGAGAAGCGCATGTGTCAAACACTCGATGACATCCTCTGCCGTTTGCATGAAATGTTTTGGACACCCGAGTCTTAGACTGCTCCATGCAGAAAGGGTCTCCAGAGACCAGCACCAGCCCATCCCCACCCGAAACTGAAACCCCTTCATTGGCGGTGCTGACAGGTCCCGGCGTCCTGTGAGCTAGGAGACAGCCGCCAAGACCCCTACAAATGCACAGGTAGCTTAAGGCGGATGTGGCTCTCACAGTGAGCGGAGACTGTGTGGGGATTGATGGCCAGCCCTGGCAGAGAAGAGGAGCAGTGAGACAGCAGGTTCTGTCTGCGGAGGCACGGTCGTCCCCACTGAGCTGCCGCTGGCAAAAATGCCCTTACGGAGGGGGATCAGGTGCCAGCCTTGTGACCCGGGGCTAAGCCGCCCCCTGCCATGCCGGCATCCATAGCATCGCTGGTTCGAGTCTCAGCTGCTCCACTTCCCATCCAGGTCCCTTCTGATGCATCTGGGAAAGTAGCAGAGGATGGCCCAGGTCCTCAGGACCCTGCCACTAACAGGAGAGACCCGGATGGAGTTCTTGGCTCCAGGCTTCTGCTCGACCCAGTCCCAGCTATTGTAGTGCTTTGGGGAGTGAACCAGTAGATAGAAGATCTCTGTCTCTCTGTCTCTCTGTCTCTCTCTAATTATGCCTCTCAAATAAATAAATGATTTTTGGGGCTGGCAGTATGGCATAGTGGACAAAGCCGCTATGTGGACACCAGTTCAAATCTCATGTGGACCCCAGTTCAAGTCCCAGCTGCTCCACTTCCAATCCAGCTCCCTGCTAATGCACTCGGGAAAGCTCAGAAGATGGCCTAAGTGCTTGGGCCCCTGCACCCATGGGGGAGACCCAGATGGCGTTCTAGAGTCCTGGCTTAGCCCTGAACTGCAACTCTGCCTTTCAAATCAATAAGATGACAAGATTCAGGAATGTGATTGGTCTGGCAGGGGGAGGAGGCAGAGGAACTAGAAGTTACTGTCTCATTCCCATTATCCCGCTGGGAATGGGTTAGCAGATGCTGGCTAATTATTAATAAGCCAGGAAAACATGAAGCACGAATGAAAACAGCGGCTGGAGCCTGGCAGACACTGCTGGAGGGTCAGCTGTGTTATAGTGCATCTGCTTCTTACGCTTAATCTTTTCAAAAAGACTTATTTATTTATTTAAAGAAGTTACAGAGAGAGAGAAACAGAGGGAGAGACAGGGGCAAGGGGACAGCTTTCACTCCCCAAACGGCCACAATGGTCAGCACTGGGCCAGGCCACAGCCAGGAGCTTCATCCAGATCTCCCACATGGGTGCAGGGCCCCAAGCCCTTGGGCCCTCATCTGCTGTCTTCCCAGGCACATTAGCAGGGAGCTGGATCAGCTCAAACCAGCATCCATATGGGATGCGCGCACTGCAGGCAGGGGCTTAACACCCTGTGCCAGCCCCAGCCCGGCATTTTAAATCTTTATTGGTTTATTTTCATCTATCTGAAAGGCAGCGTGCCAGAGAAAGAGAGAGAGAGAGAGAGAGAGAGAGAGAGAGAGAATCTTTAATCTGCTGGTTCATTCCCCACACCAGGTCTGGCCCGGCTGAAGTCAGTAGCCCAGACCCCCTCTGGGTCTCCCATGTGGGTGCAGGCCCCAGCACCGGCGCCATCACCTGCTGCCTCCTGGATGCATCAGCAGGAAGCTGGATGGGAGCAGAGAAGCAGTGCGTGTGGATGCCGAGGCCCAGGCTCAGCCTAGCCTGCTGCAGCACAGCACCCATCACAGGTTTTAACTGACAAGCATACCATGACGGCACGACGGCAGACGAAACAATCTATTTGATGATTTACTGTCACCGCCCTTTCTCGTTCTCTTCCAGGCACAGGCGGGCACCCAAGGAGGTGACAATAATGGCAGGGAGAGTGAAACTCAGCACCTGTGGCTCACACCCATATGCCCCGTGCTGTCCACCTGCAGCTCCAGTTGAGCAGGGTCACCCGTCACAATCTCACCTTCACCACCACACTCTGGCTCTGCGCCCCTTGCTCGCCAGCGCCCCCACTCCCTCCAGGAGCCTGGAAGCAGGCCCAGCTCTCTCTGGCACGTGAGCCCCAGGCACTCAAGCAGGGAGGGCTCACCCAGGACCAACCCGTCCATCCGTGTCTCACCCGCAGGAAGGAGCGGAGCAGGCCCTTCCTGTCCATCTGTAGAAGGTTCCCCAGGACGGGCAGAGGGGGGGGTCCCGGGGGGAGACGGCCGTGGGCCTTGGGGTGGCCCCTGAACAGAAGCAGCAGGAGGCCTGCGAGGAAAGCCAGGAGGAGGAGCAGGCTGAACTCCATGGTCCCGGCTGTCGGCTGTCCACCTGCTGCAGCCTCCTCGCGCTGGGCCTTTTATCCTGAGCCTGGATCCCAACTCAGTTATGCAAACTCACCCACTCCCCGCCTCTCCTCTCATCATTACCAAAATGTGAACTTGGAAGCCAGAGGACACACACTTTTGCCCGGACAGCCCAGTGGCAGCTCACCGCCCGTCACTCTGCCCCCTCCCCTTCCTGGATGTTGGCAGGGACCTGCAGGGGGAAGTGGAGGGGGTGTAGAGTGCACATGAGCGTCTGTTTATTACCATGGGAGGCAGTGAGCACTTGTCTGTCTGCAGCTCTGTTTGGCCCGTGGGTTTTCCAGGCCTGCCGGTGTCTGTCCCACCCTCTTGGGTCACTGCAGGTGTCCGTGATGGGAAGGGGGTTCCCATGTGCGGGTTGTCTGGGTGCTGGTGTTTGGGCACCTCCAGGCCCCAGTATCTTTAAGGGCTCCAGAAGCTCAGGGCGATCGCTCCTGCATCTAGGCTCCCAGCATCCCTTGTGTGACAGCCACAGCGGCAATAATGGCAGGAACAGAAGGGGCGGGGGCAGGAGACAGAGCTGGCAGGGTGCCCGGTCGGGTCCCCAGGGTCTCTGATCACCACAACTACAGCTGGGCGGGTCCCCTGCCTCTTCTGTGTCTGGGAGCAGCTGGGGTTTCTCTGGGTCCCTCTCGCTCTCTGTCTCTGACTCAGTGTCTGTTCCTGCAGTCGGGCGCTGAGCTCCAGGGGTGCAGAGGCTGCGTCCGTCCGTGTCTGGCTGTTAGAGGAGAAACCAGGGACTGAGCCATTCACAGCCAGCACCTGTGCATCCTTCTGTCAGTTCCAGAGGTGGAAGCCCACCTGTGGGTGCTGGCACGCGGTGAGGGCTTCCAGTGGTGGCCTGGCGGGCTGGGTGACACACGAGACGGAGGACAACAGGCCCAACTCCCCGGAGCCCAGCCCACTCCCGGGGTAACAGGTGCTCCCCTGTCATAACAACAGTAATCCCTCCATGAAGGCAGAGCTCTGGAGCCTGACCGCCTCCTGCGGGCCCCACTACATTTTATTAGAGAGAGAGAGAGAGTGAGTGAGCTTTCCGACTTGCTGGCCCATGATGGCTGGGACTGCACTAGGGTGGATACAAGAGTTGGGAAGGCTATGCAGGTCTCCCAGGAAGGTGGCACCACGAAGCCCAGTTGCATAGGCAGGAAGCCAGAGTCAGGAGCAGGGGCCTGGAGTCAACTCCCACACATGGTATGAGATGTGGGTGTCTTGAACACTGGGCTGAGCGCACACTCCAGCCCTCCCTCTCCGTACTTCCGCCATGGTCATTTTCTTCCACCTGTATGCAGGGGAGGACTTGTTCGAACCTCAGCATTGTGCCCTGGAAACCCCAAAACTCCAGCCTTATCACATGTAAAACACATCCATTCCATCCCAATCATCCTCAAGCCCCAACTCGCATCTACACAAACTCAAAAGTCCAGAGTCTCACCTACATCAGATATGAGTGGGACTCCATCTTGATTTGTCCTGAAGCAAACTCTCTCCAGCTCTGAGCCTGAGAAATCCAAAGGAGCCACCCACCTCCAACGTGGAGAAGACCCCTCCCCACCCACAATGTCCCACACTGCCCCTGTCTGAGGCTTCAGCTCCCTGTGATCAACCACAGTGGAACAAGTCCAGGGATGAACAACTTACAGAATTTTAAGTCTGCACACCTTTCTGAGTCATGGGATTCAATTTCATCCCACCCAGGACGAGAATCAGCCCCTGGTCCAGCGTATCCGCTGTGTGTACGTTACCCCCCCCACCCCAGTAGTCCCCATCACAGTGTCACAATGCTAACATTCAAGGAACCCTTACTCTACTTAGAATGGCCCCAAAGCTCAAGTGGTCTGGTGCTAGCAATCCAGATACGCCAACGAGAAGTTGTGGCGTTATGAGAAGCTCAGAGTTCCCCACCTAAGAAGACAACCCCTATACTGAGGTTGCTAAGACTCAGTGAACACCAACCTTCTCTCCGTGAAGCCGGCAGGAAGAAACACACTCATGGTCAAAAGTTATGGCCACGGTGTGGTCAGTGCTCGGCTGAGACGACGAAGGCATTAGTCTGTGGGCTGAAGACCTGTGCCGAGAGCGAGCTCCGACTGACGGCGCTGTGTCGGGCCGGGCAGCACTGAGCTCCGAGGAAGGCAAATGAGTGCCATCAAGCCCTTCACTCCCACGGAGGGATGACCACACAAGTTGTTCAGGAATGGATTTGGATGGGAGCAATATCTGCTCTAGACGACCTGGGTTTGATGCCCCCTTGTACGTTGCTCTGCTGTGTGTCTCTGGGCAGTGTCACAGCCTCTCTGGGCGTCCCCCTCTCCACTGGAGAACTGGAGGAGACAGCAATACCTCCCTCCTGGGGTGAGGATCACAAGAGTTCCTTGGTGTAAACCACACCCCCACCCCTACCAGTGTCTCCCAGGGCTGGAATGCGGACTCAAGTTCAAGGCCATGTCACTGAGCAAGCGAGGCCAGAGCCAGGTGCTGGGGTCAGCACAGTCCGTGGTAGCACCTCTCCTGGGTCAGGAAGGTGCACGGCGCTCTTTGGCCTCCTGGGTCAAGGGAGTACACCGCATACCCAGTCAGGGCCAGGTTCTGACTTTTAGACTCAGATAAGGCATGGCTTTTGCTCCACCCCCCTCCCCTGGGTCAGCTCAGCTACTCCTCCCCCACCCCCAAAGCAGGAGCTGGGCTGGTGTGGGCGATTTGTATAACTTGGTAAACTGGAGGCTGGCTTTACCCATTTTATTTTATTTAAGATTTATTTATTTATTTGAAAGACAGAGTTATAGAGGCAGAGAGAGAGAGAGAGAGGTAGGGGGAGAGGTGGGGGAGAGAACTGCACAGGATACAGGAAGGTAACAGGTTTCTAATCTGCACTGCTGGTGACTCACGGTTGGGGAGGGGCTGAGGACGGCTCCCAGCCCTTGGCACCTTGCCCTTTCTCCCCACTGGGGCACAGCCCCAGGTCTAGGGCTCAGAGAGGCACCCCTGCCCCGCCCTGTCGTGCTCACAAGTTAAGGAAGCGCTAATGTTTATGGGCAGACTCGCGTTCCAGCCCAGCTTGGTCCTTCGTTCGCTGTGCTGAAGGGCCCTCGGGCGAGCGAGCCTGCTGCGCTGTGGGCCCCGCTGGACCTCATCGCGGAAGGAGCCGAGGCCCCACATACGGCGCCCGTAGTAAGAGCTTCACGGCCGGACGATCACCACGGCCCCACACAGACCCAGAAAGACAGATGGTGGCGGGACCACAAGCAAACCAAACAGTGAGGCCACAGACAGCGACACTCATTCCACGGACACCGATCTACAGCAGCGGCTGCTCCGGGCCCTGAGCACGCAAGGACTTTGGACTTCATGCAGCCGGCGCTCAGGTGGGGGACTGGATGTGCACAGACAGAGGGGCAGGCAGTGCCGCACGAGGGGACGAGGCCGCACCCACACGGCCCGGCGCGGCCACCTCGGGGGTCTCCTGCCACCATCTGTCTCCACCTGGCTGCACCTGCACACCCTGGGTGCCAGGCGCTGGGACCATCGCCCCCGAGTGGAGCAAGGGGTTCCTCAGGGGACGAGGCCTAAAGGCAGAAGCTGCAGTCCCTGGGGCTGAGGGGGGAGTGCAAGGGGGGAGACGGTGAGAGCTGGGGGTGGGAGGGGGACAGCAGCCCCGGGCCTGCTGGACAGCACGGTGGGCGCAGGGAGACGGTAGAAAGAACAGGATGGGGTGTGGAGGTAGCCGGGGTGGGGACTGAGGTTGCCATGGGTGTGGCCACGGAGAGCCATGGGAGCCAGACACAGGGTCAGCAGCTGAGGGACCAAAGCCTGATCGCATCTGGCCCTCCCAGCACCCCCTCCCCACACTAGCGGGAGCCTGCACCCAGCACCTGGGCTTCCTGCTTGCGCCGGCTGGGCCAGGCTCACAGGACCACACCTCGTGGCCTCTGCCCTTCCTCCTCCTTCTCCTTCTCCTCGGGGCCTCGCCCTCTGGAGCCGGGCTCCGGCTACCCATGCAGGCCATACCCCCGGCCCACCATGCGTGGCTGGGCTGGGGGACATGCTGAGCCTAAGGAAGTGTCCTTTCTCCAGGCTGTGCCCAGGGTGAGCCAGGAAGAGTGGACTCTGCCCTCCTCCCCCCCAGGCACCGGCAGCAACGGCCAGCGACGCAGCAGAGATTTTCCAACCAGGAACCTGCAGAAACCCAGAGGCAGGCAGACAGCTGGGAGTAGAGACAGACACGGAGTAGGAAAGAGAAGGCAGAGAGGCAGAGATGCTGAAAATCAGAAAGAGGTGGACACAGGAAGAGGCACCAACAGGATAGATGGAGAGGGCAGTAGAGGAGAGAGAATAAGACAGGGAAGAGACCCAGTAACACCAAGAAAGAGATACACTCTGGGCTGGCGCTGAGGCATTGTGGGCTAAGATTCTGCCTGCAGCGTCAGCATCCCATATTGGTACCGTTTCAAGTCCTGGCTGTTCCACTTCTGATCCAGCTCTCTGCTATGGCCTGCGAAAGCAGTAGAAGATGGCCAAGTCCTTGGGCATTTGCACCTCTGTGGGAG